TCCTCACCCTGCCCGCCCTGGGGCTGCTGGAGGACAAAACCCTCTTCCCGGACGAGATCCTGCAGAGGTGAGCCCCGCCAGCCCTGCGCCCCCTCCCCGCTACTCCTGTTCCCCCCTGACCGCCCTGTGTCCTTCCCCCACTCAGCGTCCCCGATGACTACCGCTGCGGGAAGGCGCTGGGGCCGGTGGAGTCCATCCAGGAGCACCCACGCGACAGCAGTCGGCTCCTCATCGGGTACAGCCGGGGGCTGGTGGTCCTCTGGGAGCAGAGCACACGCGTCGTCCAGCATCTCTTCCTGGGGAACCAGGTACTGGGGCTGGTGGGGCTGCAGCCTTGTGTATGTTCCCCCCGTCCCATCCCGTGTGTCGAACCTCTCCCCGTGTGTCCCCGCAGCAACTTGAGAGCCTGGCCTGGGAGCAGAGGGGGAAGACCATCGTCAGCTCCCACAGCGACGGCGGGTACATGGTGTGGGCGGTGAGCGGCTCTGGCCAGAGGACGCAGCAGCCCGTCATGTCCACCATCCCCTACGGTACGGGGTGGGGGGAAATCGCAGGGTTGGGGGCTGATCGCCCCCATCCCAGTGCTGGTGCTGCAACCCTGGGGTTGATATTTTTGTTTCAGGTCCATTCCCTTGCAAAGCCATCAGCAAAATTCTCTGGCGGACCTGCGAGTCGGGGTAGGTCGCTGCGGCACCGGGGGGCACCTGGGCTGCGGAGAAGATGCTCTGCGGGGTCTGAGGTCTGATGGAGGCTGCTTCATCCCTCCCCTCCAGGAACCCCTTCATCATCTTCAACGGGGGGATGCCACGGGCCAGCTACGGTGATCGGCACTGCGTCAGTGTGCTGCAGGGCCAAACTCTGGCCACGCTTGACTTCACCTCCCGTGTCATCGACTTCTTCACCGTGCAGAGCGCCGAGGTGGCTGAGGGAGGTACGTCCCACCAGGCCAGCCCTGGGGAGCAGGTCGGAGGGGGGGGATGTCTCCAGTAGTAGCAGCCATCTCCCGCCTCTTCAGGCTTTGAGAACCCCCGTGCGCTTGTGGTGCTGGTGGAGGAAGAGCTGGTGGCCATCGACCTCCAGACGCCGGGCTGGCCCACCATCCCTGCCCCGTACCTGGCGCCGCTTCACTCCTCTGCCATCACCTGCTCCTGCCACGTCTCCAATGTGCCTCTAAAGCTCTGGGAGAGGATCATCAGCGCCGGCGAGCAGCAGAGCCCCCGGCTCTCCTCCGCGGTGAGTGATGGGGATGGCAGGGAGGGGGTCCCTCAGCCCCCCAGGACGGGCTGGTGGAGGGGTGACGCTTGCTCCTGCTCCCCACGGGTGGGCTCGATCCCTTCCTCTCTCCCTCCAGGCTTGGCCCATCGACGGGGGGAAGAACCTGGCCCAGGAGCCCACGCAGAGGGGGCTTCTCCTCACGGGGTGAGTTGCCTGGCGGGAGCGGAGCAGGGCTGGGAAACCCAAAATGCGCTGGGGGTGGTGGTGAGACACACATCCTCAGCCCCTTCCTGGGGTGAGGGAGTGTATGGGGGGGTGGTGGGAGGTCCAGCCGCTCTTTTGGGTGAGCTGCCCTCCTCCAGTTCAGCTTGGTGGCCGGGCAGGAGTGTGTCACTCGCTGCATTGTCATCCCCCCCTCTTCTGGCACGGTGGCTGCCAGCACACAGGCGGCTCTTGTTAGCCGGGCAGATGTCAGGGTCCCGTGCTAACGGGGCTTCCCCACGTGTGTCCCCCCGCCCCCGCCAGGCACGAGGACGGTACGGTGCGGTTCTGGGATGCCTCGGGGGTCTCCCTGAAGCCCCTCTACAAGCTGGGCACTGCCAGCATCTTCCAGACTGACTGCGAGCACAACGACAGCCTCAACCAGGCGGGCGAGGAGGAGTGGCCGCCTTTCCGCAAGGTGAGGTCCCCAGGGTTGGGGGGGACGCCGCTGCGGACCCCAACACCCCCCCCTCGCTCCTCCAGCAGCGGGTGGTCAAGCCCAGAGGCAGGCACGGAGGATGCACCCGCCGGAGTCGGCCCGGCTGGTCCCCTGGGTCG